AATCAACACAAAATCATGCATACGTAATAAGAAAATCAGGCTATACCGATACAGCTTTAGTTCTCACCATTTATCTTTTTTCTAATGTCATTGTACTTCCGTACTTTGAAATATAATTTTTATTTTCGCATGCGTGTAAGCTTTATCAGTATAATATTTACTTTCGAAAAGTAACAAGTTTAATATACAAATGGACTAAATTCCTTGTTCCAAATAAGCCAATCTCATGGCGAAATTCACAATTCCGAAACGTAAGAAGCTTTAGTTTGTCAAATTCTCAAAGACGATAGCTTTAAGTGCTAAAAAGCCTGTTGTCGCTTTGGAATCCACTATTATTTGTCATGGTAAGTAAGAATTACTGCTTATAATTTGTCTTTTTATAAAAACTTCCCAAAAAGGGATTAATATTACATTATGTTTAGGCATGCCATATCCGCAAAATGTTGAAACGGCTATTGCTGTTGAAAACATTGTACGTGAGAATGGTAGCATACCAGCTACAATTGCAATCTTGGATGGAAAAATTAATGTTGGTAAGAACCTTTTGAATCACATTATCACCAATCATATGTTATTAATTATAGAATATATAAATTTTATACTAAATTTGAACAAAGGAAAATAATAAATTACACGGGTTTAAGTTTAATAAGGCGAAACAAAGTAATTTTCTGGTTTTTTATTCCAGCCGGGTCAATTTCAATTTAAAAATTTTTTTATTTAATATATATTAAATCTATTTAAAATTTCTAAAAAGTTATATTATATATACAATAACAAGTTTTTAAAAAAAACCGGGTGCCAGTGCTGTTTAGAAGTTTTAATGATATGAAAACCAGAGAATTAACTTTGCATGGCCTAAACTATGATAACTTATAATCAATAATAAGATTTTGATTTTGCAATAAGATTTAAATAACACTAAATTCTAATTTGTTAGATCATAGTTTAATCAAATTTAACTTTTGTGTAAGATATTTGAATTTGACCAAATTTGGTATGAAAACATATATTAAGAATACTAATTTGGTTCAGTTTGACCTTTACATAGGACTTACATCAAACGGATTGGAAAAACTCGCAAAAATGGGACAACAAGCAGTAAAAGTTTCTCGAAGAGATCTTGCATTAACTATTTCACAAGTACATATTAAACAATATATCTATTTCCTAATTGGTGCAGATTGTGT